TTTCATTATATCAAATGTCATTGTTCACATCTTATTTTCTACACATGAAAACATACACTGAAAAACATGTGACACAAACATACAAGAAATAGGAATAGTTTAGCAGTTCCCTAACTGAGATACTGAATTCTCACAAAGAACTATTTCAAGCAGAATGTGCAGACAAATTAGGAAAAGGTAGTATAGACTAAGCTTAACTCCCTAACCTATGTATACAAGATTAAAATTAATATTTTCTCTTACCTGGGAACTTCCCATTAATCGCCAAAACAGAATGCGACCGTAAAATTACCTTCACGTCGATCTGTGTTGTTTGCCGGCAGGCTGCGATTAATGACGGGAATTCCACAGGCTCGAAGTATAAGTATCAATCTATTGTCCAAATTAATCTCCTCCCTTTACTGGGTTCTGCCCAACCCTCAAGACGATGACTTAAGCCACGCCTCCGGAGTACCCAACAGATCAACTTGGCTAACAAGTGGCCTGTCAGTCAATTCTGGACTGACATCCCTAGGGCAAACATTCTTAAGTGCCCAAATCTAGTTTACACCGAATCTAACTGGCCTGTGTGAAAGACGGTCAGTGAAGCCATTGTGTTTCCTACGTGACCAAGATCAAGATAAAACATTCCTAATTGCCAAACATCTGTTCTCTCCAGAATTACACTGACGTGTTAAACTCCGACCTCCCGGCTCCACAATGTCTAGCGTCTACTCAATTTCCCTGTTCAAAAGGGCCCCGCTCAGTCTCTACAGTCTGGTCAGGAGATAACATTCTGACACTGGCGTGAGAATCCAACCTCACATCCCTAGTCTGAACCAGCGGGCTGTATTACGTAGTGTTAGGTAATTTTAAACAAAGCGCAGTGGCTTTGTCTGGGAGAAGGACTGGTAACATTTAAATCAATTTGGTTTAAAGTAATATTAGGGTAAAGGGCATAGTCTCTTGTCTCTCAATAACCAGAAGAACTTATTACCAGTACTAACTTCTGGAATCACTGAGATCGTATCGTGACACTGGCAGAGCAACAGTCCCAAATAGTGTTAAACACGGACGAGAGATTGGGGAGGTTGGAGATCCACTGCAGCCAACCTACTTTGTGGAGACGGCACCTGACTGACCGATTGCTTGATTGATTCAGTATGAATCAGAAATGAATTCAGGAAACTAATTTAATTGTTCTAAATTTGTCCTTACACATAAATCAATAGTACATTAGCATAAGATCTTATTGCAGTAAATGTTCAAGTAATGCACAGGCAGACACACAAACACATACAATGTAAAATGTAGAAGTGTCTATGTCTATCTGAACGTTTACTAGTGACGAATTAGCAAACGCTGGCAGATGATGAAGACAGAGATGGCTTGGACATTGCAGGATGCCTCTTGACACTGAGACAAGGACAGCTGTCCGATGAGAGCAGATGGGGGAGAAAAGTTGTGCATGGACAATGTAAAGAAGCCTAGAGGAGAAGAGTAGACAGGGAAATAAAGGAATGTAAACAGACATAAGCAGAAAAGCAGCGACGAAGATTACTCGTCAACATCGATCAGAAGAGATCTGTTTTAAACAAATTGGTCTACTTTTTCTTCTTTACGTCCTCTTTTACCGCTCCGGGTGTCGAGGTAGATATAAGGCCCTGCTCCGTGCTTTTCTGGCTGCTTCGACAATAGACACTGTAAACTGTAGAGTTTCTCTAATGTTATCTTCCCATCTTGTTTTTAGGCTTCCTGTTGCTCTATGTACTTCTCTTTTCGTGTATGCCTTGTGTTGTATGGCATCAGAAAGCATTATCTCCAAGTGGGCAAATCATTTGATTTGCAGTCTTTGTATGTAATCTAGTATTGGTTCTGTGCCGACTTTATCTCGGATCACCTCATTCCTGATTTCATATCTTCCGGTCACCAATGTAGTTTTTCCGTGGTTCCTAATTTTCTTTTATGTTTTGTTGTGAGTGACCAATTCTGGCACTATTAGCATAGGATGGAAATGGATATGCTTTGTATGAGATGTTTCTTTGTGCTGATTTGGATTGTCTTACGCTGTTAAATTAACTGGTGCAACCTCCAAAATAGAAGTTGACTATATTGTAAATAAATGATGCAAACACTAGACAGATAAAAGAGCAATACATCCTGAAAGAAAGTGATTCGGGGAGAAAATTGATTGCCCACATGTGAAGAGATCGAGAAAACGGTTATTACATCATGACAGTGGGCATGTCGAAAGTGGAAAGAGGCAGAAGGAGATTGACAGTTTGATATCAATTAATAAAAGCCATCTGTGTGGGAACTGATTCAAAGTACACAAGACAGAAGGTAGTTGGTAGACATGATTTCTTATGCCATGTCCTTTGAATTATAAGAGGAAGAAAATGAGAAGTTTTCTAATTACTGTTGACTTGTGGAGTATTCCTTGGTGTCTGCCAAATGTCTCCCACTCTAAAAATGTTGTACCGACGTCCTATAGCTAGGACAGACATCTTTTCTTCTCTACATTGTTAATGCATATTCTGCCGTCTAAGGCCTTGGGGTTCATTGCTGCAGATATCCCCTCCATCCATCTCTGTGACTGGCCTTCTCTGTCAGTTGGTGACATCACGTATTTGTAGACCTCCATATGATTTGGCAGCAGAAAGTGTAGCCTTGATTTCGATAAAGGCATCGGGACCGACCATTGAGTCTAACAGGCATTGGGACCGACCGTTGAATCACAAAGACATCGGGACCGACCGTTGAGTCCAAAAGGCATAGAGACTACCCGTTGAGTCCCAAAGGTATCGGGACAGACCGTTGAGTCACAAAGATATCGGGACCGATCAATGAGTTCCAAAGGCAAAGGGACCGACCGTTGAGTCACCAAGTTTGTTTCTGTGATCTTCTGTACAGGAAGTGCAACAAATGTTTTGCTACTTTTCAGCACATCCGGTTCCCGTTCCACACACCGACCCAAATAATGCGTCAAGCTCCGTTATTACTGTAAGTTTCATTTTGTCCATCTTAAATGTTCATTCGAGCGACGTCATTATGTTGTACCTGTTTACATGATAGCTGATGGAGACATTGAAATACGAATACAAAAGCCAAGAGGAACTTCTATAGAACTAGGGAAATTTGGTGGAGGTCAGCAGTAATTAAAAACTAACGTAATTTTAATTCTAATGTTAAATCAGTACTGTTGTGTGGAGCGGAGCGAGGAGAACAACTAATGCAGTTACAAATGAACTACAAACATTTAGTAATTAGTGCCTGCGTAGAATAGAAAGAATTAACAAGTATGATAGAATCACTAATCTAGAGCTTTGGGATAGAAATAAATTCAAGTGGACCAAGTGGTGAAGACAAGGCGCTGGCGTTGGATAGGACTCACATAGATTATATGATATAAGTGGAATGTCTTTACATTGGAACCCACAGGGACATACAAATAAAGGAAGACACCCCCACCCTCCCCCCCCCCAATAGAAAAACATGCAGAAGGGAGCTAGAGAGTACAGTTAACAATGTGGGGGGTCGGGGGTGGGGGGGGGGGGTTCATGGAGAGAGCTGCATATGATAGCGATGGACATAACTGCATGGCGTGAGATGATTGAGAGCCCATGCTCCATTGGGGGTCAGCAAGGCAGAAGTTGACAGCTTTCGACCGACACATCCGACTTCTTTGTGCATTTGGTATCCAGATTAACCATCCCTGTCACAGTATCTTTAATACTGTCCGTGACCTTTGCTATATTAATTTTTCTTCTAGTGGAAAAAAAAGGCTTTACTTCTGATATTGACCGTTGTTGAACTCGGCGTTATCAGATGATTCCTGGAGCACGTGAAAGATTTAGGGGTCGCATGCCTAGTTTTGATAGCCGTGACCAGCGCCATTCATGGCTGGAGACACAGACTTTCCCCTGGTCATAATTTCTCAGTGCCTCAGTGAGTTTGCAGAGGAAGATAGAGATGAGCGAGGTCCGAAAACAGTGAGCATTGCCTCTGGTGCATTCTGGGCTGATAACGATCTGTTTCGTTTTCGTAGAAAGAAATGGGCAAGCTGGTACGCTGGCAAGTAAGTCTGTGAAGGTAGAGCGATCCATGGGCCAGACTGATATACTGAATGCACTACTAGTAAACTACTGACTGTGAATCTTCTTCTTCTTTGCGTTCGGTTTCGTATGCTCAGATCAGACCATCAGGTGGGTTGCCTCTATGAACTCGCATGTCAGCTGCAGGTCGTGCATGGTTCCCCATAGCTTGCTCTGCACACTTTGCTCTTGAGGCCAGACTGTGAATCTGAAACCATGACCTGACTGCAAGAACAGAAAATCAAAACGAATGTGACCAGGTAAGAGCACTGTATTGGAAGCTAAAGAAAAAAAAACGAATCCAGCACCGAGCTGGTGTCACCTGTGGGCGTTTGATGAGAAGGGGATCAGAGCACTTATGGACTGAAGGCTTCTATGTGCAAAGAGGATAATCTATCGACTAACTAACTAATCCAAACCCCCCTAGATCACACAAGAGACTCTTTTCGAAGAAAGCAGTACAACGTGACACCCTTCTGACCTAGATCAGACAGAGAAAGTGTGCAGATGGGGCGAGAAACGTGAACGGGTCCACCCCCTGCTTGAGAAAATGATTCAACCTTTGTTTTAACATTGTGCGGAACAGATCAGCGTGTGGGTTCCGGGGCCCGAATAAGGACAGACCCACTGTCTCTTAGAGCTATATTTTTATTAGCCATCGGCAAGCTGTGAGTGATGTGATCAGCATCACACTGGTCGCCTTTACTTTCCAGGACTGCACCTGGTACCCACTTGAGGCTGGGTCGACCTGATTTTCCAGGTCATTTTTGAAAGAAAAAAAAATCCGGCTCAGTCAGGACTTGAACCCACGACTTAACGATCCGCAAGCTGGCGTCTAGCCGCTAACGCCATGCAACTCCCCACAAATATCCATAGTAAAATTTACAAAGCATATTTAACACTACGAATGTTGATATTATTTCCCAGACTCAGCCACACTCCCAGCAAGCCGCTTTGAAAACCCCAACAGTTGGGGTCGCCCGGCCAGCTCCTGTGAAGGTTGAGAATTATCTTGGACTTAGCATCTGCATTTGTATTCTCTTTTGCTGTCCTTGTAGCATACCGGCCATTGTACTAACAGTTAAGGTAAATAGACACAGTCCTTCCTTCTGTGTTTCTATTACAGGCTGATACTAGAAGATTTGGCAACCAGAGACTTCAACATGTCAGTCTGAGTGACAGACACACAGGACAACTCCCTGATACCCCCTCCAAACCTCCAAAGAAAGTTAAAGATTAGAGGATCAAATTCAGTGGACTGGGTTCTATCTTATTCGGATGGGTTTCTCTCCGCAGAACGGCTAGCCGTCTGGCGTACGCCTCGCACAAAGCATTAACTCAGTAGCTTCAGCGACGACCCCTAGCAATTGCACTAGGGCAAGTTCTAGATATTTTCATTTTCTTTTCTCAGAACGGCTAGCCGTCTGGCGTACGCGTCGCACAAAGCGGTAACTCAGTAGCTTCAGCGACGACTCCTAACAATTGCACTAGGGCAAGTTCTAGATATTTTCATTTTCTTTTCTCAGAACGGCTAGCCGTCTGGCGTACGAGTCGCACAAAGCATCAACTCAGTAGCTTCAGCGACGACCCCTAGCAATTGCACTCGTGAATTGAATGATGCGTTCTAGAATCGAACCCACAACCTACAATACGTAAGACAAAACTGCTAGACGACGCCACTAAGACTTAATGTTGAATGCTGAATTAAGAATCGACATCACAGCACTCGGGACACTCCCATTAGTGCTCAGTTCCCATCTTCAAAAGCAAGCGAAAAGTTCCAATTCCGATGGTACCAGTAACCGTCTGATTGTATATTCGTTTCATCCTTCCCCTCAGTGTTGAGCGTCGGCCAGATCACCAGGTAACTCCTCGCGGCGACATTCTCCTTAGATCGTCATGATTTATCGGCGCTGCCAAGAAAAGTGACGGCGACCACTCGACACGGAGAACTTCTCAATCTCCACCCCCCCCCCCGCCCATAAAAAGCTGTTACTGCCACCCCTGTAACGTCAACATAGACCACGTTTAACTTGTAGTCCTGTATGGGTGTGGATGCTTGGATTACGTGCACGCGTTGTCCCTAGATCTTCCGACATACACAAAGTAGCCACAGAATAGAGTGATTGCTGTATTGGGTTATTTTATTTTCACCCCCTCTCGGGGAGTCTCAGATATCTCGTTCAACCTGAAAATAAATTATAGTTATGACAACTATAAGAAATACACCAGATAAGTGTAGCCAATGCTTTATTATCCTACCCCAGATGACGTCACAGGACAGTCTAACATTTCAGAGGATGGTAAGACCTGGTTTCCCGGCTTTTTCATGCTTTTAACGAACCCAAAGCATCTAGAACTGGCCCTAACCCCAACCCACCTACGTCCCACGAGAGAGTGCAGCCTAGGTCCCACGATTGCATACAGCCTCGGTCCCACGACTGCATGCAGCATATCTACCACACACTGAAATATTAGATTGTCCCGTGACTTGAAGAATTCCTCTGTTTGGGGTAGGATATTAATAAAGCACCTTGTAGCCAGCCCTCATAAGCGGGACATGACGAGGTCCCTCACACTGCATAATCACACTTCTATGATTTTTGGTAAGAATGTTTTCGTCTGTTATATTTTTTTTTCTCAGTCGATAAAGGCCTTGAATCGCGGGGATGTGGTTACTGCTTACTCTTACAGCAGGATGGCTCGCTGGCTAAATCTGGCAGCTGTGGCCGCCGGACTTGTCTCAGAAGTCGTTCTGATTCTGCTGTTCACGAGCTACTCGGATTCATCTTCTGAAGGTTAATAATAGCAAGTGA